CACAAGTGACGTCCTGTCCGGTAAATCACTTACAACATGTACACAAGTGACGTCCTGTCCGGTAAATCACTTACAACATGTACACTAGTTACGTCCTGTCCGGTACATCACTTACAACATGTTGTACACTAATGACGTCCTGTCCGGTAAATCACAACATGTACACTAGTTACGTCCTGTCCGGTAAATCATTTACAACATGTACACTAATGACGTCCTGTCCGGTAAATAAGAAATAAAGATTTCCATTAATCGCATCAAGTTATAAAATGATCATTTTGTCCTCCCATGGGAATGTTAGGTCAAGAACTTAAGAAGGTTAACTTCTAATTTATTGTAAACAAACAACCTAGTGACACTACAGCAGCTGGTAAATCACTTACAACATGTACACTAGTGACGTCCTGTCTGGTAAATCACTTAGAACATGTACACAAGTACATAAGAAATAACGATTTCCATTAATCGCATCAAATTATAAAATGATCATTTTGTCCTCCCATGGGAATGTTAGGTCAAGAACTTAAGAAGGTTAACTTCTAATTTATTGTAAACAAACAACCTAGTGACACTACAGCAGCTGGTAAATCACTTACAACATGTACACTAGTGACGTCCTGTCTGGTAAATTACTTACAACATGTACACTAGTGACGTCCTGTCCGGTAAATCACTTACAACATGTACACTAGTGACGTCCTGTCCGGTAAATAAGAAATAAAGATTTCCATTAATCGCATCCAATTATAAAATGATCATTTTGTCCTCCCATGGGAATGTTAGGTCAAGAACTCAAGAAGGTTAACTTCTAATTTATTGTAAACAAACAACCTGGTGACACTACAGCAGCTGGTAATTATCGGGAGAATGCCACTGATTTAAAGTGGTCAATACTGGTCTTCTAAAGACAGGTAAAATACCTGGAATTTAAATGTAACAGATAAATTTTATAGAAGGCACTAAACGTGTGTGTTATTATTTGACTTAGTTTCGAAAATTTCGCAAAGAAAATATTAATTATAAAATAATAAATCTCTGAAATTAACTACAGTAACCCTATGTCTAATAAAAACTGTAAATACTTAAACACCCATTAAGCTAAATTCAAACTAAATTGACGGTTTAATTTTCTGTTTTTTTAATTATTAAATCATTCAGTAACGTATCTGCTACTAAAGGAAACAAACTGAAAAAATCCAAAGTTTGCTTTATCTTTTTCATATTTCATCAAAAGTCACTAAAGAGCGCTTTAACCAGAAATAATGTTTTCATAAACGTTCTAAATTAAAAAGATTCAAGTACAAAAGATTAGGAATTTTAAATTATAATTTTATTCAGCTCACTCTGAACTAATGTTAACCATATAAATACATCACAAATACATTTGCTACAGTTAAAGTACAGGGACAACAGACATTTTATTATGATAAAAAATTTCACTATACCGTTAAGAGAACGTTTTATTATTAGACTAAAAGGGTTTACAAGCAAATGGATTAACTATTTAGAGGAAATTTATAAACGGATGAACCATGCTGTTCAGTAGGTGTTTATATTAATACTAGACCAACTTTACATGTTGCTATATGACAAACGAACATTGACAAAATCATGTTTCTGAAAATAAAGTTCAGAGTATCTACTATGAATTTTTTAAGTGATTTTTTTTATATAAGACACAGAGTACCCTACCTTTTGGTACGTCACGTTAGCTAAAACGCTTATCTAACATCATAAACAGAGTTTAAATTCTACAGTGTATAGAGCTTTCATGTACGAAAACCTCTCCCTAATAGCCTGAAATGAAAATCTGATCCATTGTACGTATACTGGTGTTAACGAGCAGTGTTACCATAGTAAACTTTTAAATATCAAGCTCGATAACCGGAAGTAGAATCACTTATTTTATCCAGGGTTAGATCTAACGAGCAGTGTTACCATAGTAAACTTTTAAATATCAAGCTAGATAACCGGAAGTAGAATCACTTATTTTATCCAGGGTTAGATCTAACGAGCAGTGTTACCATAGTAAACTTTTAAATATCAAGCTCGATAACCGGAAGTAGAATCACTTATTTTATCCAGGGTTAGATCTAAGCTCTTTCACTCTTTAAAAATTTTACTAGAAACTCTATCAAGCATGTAAACAGAAATTATATAATGTGGCGAATAAAAAATGTATAGAGATGGACAAGAAAGAGCATGATGGGATAGCAGGTTAAAATACTTGAAATATTTAATGATGTCAGTTGACTTAAGGATGTTATTGAAACCGACTCAATCCTCGGTAGAAGTGATATATCTTAAGTCAGCTGAGGATTTAGCATAAATTTATATGAAGTAGTTACACAAATTTATTGGAATCTTAAAAGTTCTAATTTTCTAGTTTGCTACTGGTTTTAAAGTATCTGAACGTCATATATAACATTGTATCATATATTCAAAATTGTGAACAGCATTGTATTCAACATTTATTTTCTGGTGAAAACAAGTAGTACTTCTTGTTAACTAAACACTGTAATTGAAAACCAAAGTTTCGAGGACTTCCAGATTCTGAGTTAAGCTTTAAATCACAGATTACCATAGTAACTTATTTCAATAACTGGAGAAAACAGATTTTTGATTATATATTCGATATTAGATAAAAATTAAATATCATAGAATATTAACAAACTCGAAGTCAACTTTAAAAAGCAAATCGGGTCCATGTGATTAGAGAAATTTATTTTTGTAAATCTATGTTAAACGAAAGATAAATAGGTGGCAGCACCATTTAAGTTGGTTGAAGTTGTTTTTTTTTGCATTATGCAAGAAACTGGAAAGTTATCTAAACAGTACACTAGGGTAATCCATTACTGTCTCCTTCCTGATTTTGGTGGATATGTGACCCATCTGGCCTGGCATGGCCTGATTGGCAATGTGAGTCGGGGGTTTTAATCTTGTCCCCAAACATGCTCACCCTTTAAACTGTAGGCGTTATAATGTGACGTTGAATGTCACTATTCGCTTGTAGAGAGTTGCCCATGAATTGGCTGTGGGTGGTGTTAATTAGTTGCTTTTCCTTGGTGAAAACTAACTCGTCGAACCTTTTGTTGCCAGCGAGACTAACCAACCTGTTAGAACTTCTCTAAGCAAGACTGCCGTATAGGTCAATGGCCATCATTATACAATATAGGCTGGGAGTAAACGCTGTACTGGTCAGTGGTCATGCCCATACGGTACAGGCTGAGGAGTTTGCACTATATTATTGGTCAATGGTCTATGAGGTGGTGGCCTGCCATCTACTACACTGGACAACGATCACTATCGTGTACTAAAGGTCAAGGGTTTCTACCATGCACGTGATACATATTTCACTGTGTTGGTGGTAGTGTATACTAAACTAAAATATTGATGCTATGAGCTGCACACACACACACACGGAACTCAGATACGTGTTTTATCTCACCCACCCTTCCCCCCTTGTTACTGAAATGTATTATCTGCCTACTACCAGGCACATACTGGAAATTTGATCGATATAAACTACTGGTTTCTTACTTCGCCGTGTATTATGGTTGTATACACAAACAGCCTCACCATAAATTATTTATAAATACCAGTCTCTAGTATAAAATATGAGCAAATCTTTCACAGGTTCGTTACAGGTGTGGTTGGGATGCCAGGACATAATTTAATCATGTTTTGTTAGGCCTTGCTGTAGAGAACAGCCTGCAAGTTATCTTAGGAAGCATATGTGAGGTGTTACCTTTATAACTTATTTGCAAAACCAATTACACAACTCAAAACCAGAAGCAATAGAAACCAATCACACAACTCAAAGCTAAAATCAGTAGAAACCAATTAAATAACTCCAAACCAGTACCAGTGGAAACGAATTATAGAATTCCAAACCACTATTAGTAAAAATCGATTATAGAATTCAAAACGAATGTCAGAAGAGACCCATAATGCAACTCAAAGTCAGTACCAGTAGAAATCAATGGCGTGGCGACAATAACTGACCGAAGAGTGGCTCTACGAGAAATGATACCAAATTTATTATCTCTCAAGCTCACTCCATCTTTTTTACAATCACGATCTCCAAATAGGAATCCATTGAGACTGAATGGTGTAAAGATGTGATTGAAAGACAGAGAAATAAAGGTCTCAGAAAAAAAAATTGTTTAAAAGGAATTAAATTTACCGATAACCAGAACATAAATACACTATATTTTAAATGGCCGAAACAATATTTAAGTGATAGAGTATCGTTATAGTCCATTCTATCGATAGCAACACATTGTTTCATTCTGGTTTGTTTTGGGGGGGAGGGTCGAGAGATGTTTAGACATCTTGTCAGTGTCAATTAACTAATCATTTCTATACACATTTCTATATGTTTTTATCCAACTCGTATGCAATAAACGTCAATGTCAGAGAATGTGTTTTTGATAACAATTGTTTTAAGCATAAAGAAATTGTAAGTATACATGAGTAACTATGCACACAATATTTCATATTAACTCAGAAAATAGAGCATATTCCCAATACTTAGTTGTTACGGGTAATATTTTTGTTAAATTGTTTCAACTTCCCAATATAACATTCGGATATTTTATATATAACTTCTTAATGTTAAATAAATAATGCAAATAAATATATATTTTGTTTTCTGCAGATAACTTAACTAATACATATTGAGAAGATACAACTAGAACTGAAGACTGGGGGCACGTGTGGGTGAACTAAAGAATGTGGACTGTTTGTTCATGAACAAGTTGGCAGCATCACTATATAGGCTTCTGGACTCTTTAGCCATACTGGTGGTCTGTCATCAGGGCTAAGGACCAGCCTGTTAATTATGTTACTATTCCCTAGGTACAAAACGAAAACTTATCCTTAGATGGAAACCATAATTACTTTTATCAAGTATAACGGTCGTGTTAAGACGGGCAGCTCTGTGTTAAAAGTTGAGAGATTTATTACTTGACAGTCTTATAACGGAACCTTTAGCAATGAAAACTATTTTCAAAACGCACAGTAGTCTTTATGAGCATGGTCGGACGTGTAACGACATGTTGAGGCTCCCAAATCGTTTAATTTAACGTATTTAACCTTTGTATCATTTGACAGTAACTGTTAGAAGAAATAAACGTGTTTCTTTAACAATTTAATGTAGTAGTAATGTATATCCTAAGATCACTAGATTCGTCTTATAGGTGTGTAAAAGCATTCTTTACAATCGATCACAACGTTTGTTTCTAGTAAGTGTAAACCCGTCTACACTGTAGTCATACGTATAATTGTGTGAAATCATTCTTTACAAGTGTGAAGCTTTCCATAGAGCACGTCTTTATCATTACACACGTTAACAATTTGAAAACTTTTATCCTGGTATATGACGTCAAACATTTTTAGTTTTTTTTTAAGGGAGGCCGAATTTTTATTGATACATTTACACATAACGTTTTTATGCACTAATAATATTCAAATGTTTATTCCACTATCAGTTACTTTATGATGTCCATGCATTAATGTAAGATAAAAATGGTCTCCTGACAATTTATTATCAATTTCCCTTGATCACGTGCCTCATTCCAGACGTATCAACATGCTTTTCTTCCAGGAGAGTCGCTTCTCCATTCCTGAAGTACGTTTAATTTGTTACCATTTCTTAAATCCTAGTGAATTCACTTTAATAATTTTATATCATAATATAGAATGACATGTCTTCTGGTACAACGGTCAACCTTACTCAATACTTTAAATATTGTTGAAAGGGGAGATAGCATTGTTATATCTTACTTCCGTGACACGTCTTCTGGTACAACGGTCAACCTTACTCAATATTTTAAATATTGTTGAAAGGGAAGATAGCATTGTTATATCTTACTTCCATGACATGTCTTCTGGTACAACGGCCAACCTTACTCAATACTTTAAATATTGTTGAAAGGGAAGATAGCATTGTTATATCTTACTTCCATGACATGTCTTCAGGTACAACGGTCAACCTTACTCAATACTTTAAATATTGTTGAAAGGGGAGATAGCATTGTTATATCTTACTTCCATGACAAGTCTTTTGGTACAACGGCCAACCTTACTCAATACTTTAAATATTGTTGAAAGGGAAAATAGCATTGTTATATCTGACTTCCATGACATGTCTTCTGGTACAACGGCCAACCTTACTCAATACTTTAAATATTGTTGAAAGGAAGATAGCATTGTTACATCTTACTTCCATGACATTTCTTCTGGTACAACGGCCAACCTTATTCATTACTCTTAATATTGTTGAAAGGGAAGGTAGCAAAGGACTCTTGTTATGATTTTTACTAAATCAAGTCACAATGAGTTTTTAAATTTTCCATAAGACTTGAAAATATACTCCCAATTAAAAATAGGATTAGTCCTCAGTATAGAAATTGTGGAACTTGTGAATTTCATTGCCTGACGTCAGAGAGCGCTTAAACTTTTTCCGTAGCAAGAAGACTATGGGAGAAGATAAAAGAATACAGTCAAAGGCGTCGCTAGGTGCTTAAAAGATTCGGGGCTCGGGCCCATACGCGCGGGAATTTTCGGCATTTTATTATGATATGGATCATGGTTTTCTATTCTGATTTTTCAGGACACTTACTGGAGCTGTGTCAAATAGAATCGGAGCACGGGTCCCATGTGGCAGCGCCTAGCGACGCCTCTGAATACAGTAATGTTAAAATTTACAGCAATTCAAGTATTCATCAATACGTCATCTAGAACTGCGTCGTTTTAGTGGTTAAAACATATTCAAAATCACTGGAAGTGTAGAGAACTAGATGATTTTACGAAGTTAGATTCTTCTAATTCGGGAAAAGAAGCTCTGAACAACCATCAAAAAACTGCTGCTCTTTTATTAGTCGTATAATATACTTTATGTATAACGTTATCACATTTCATAGTGTTATTAATCCTGGACTACCACATTGCTAAATTCAGCCCCGCGTTCTTAAATTTGTATAAGACCGTACACCTACCTAAACCCGCCCCTGTAACAGGGTTCCTAACAACGGAAAAACTATCAGCATTATTGCAATGTATTTTACATGGGAAATGGGTGATTTCAACTAAATCCTTAGTCAGTTACTTACACTGAGTTAAAACATAAAATTACTCGATATGATACAATATGGGGAACCTAACGGTAATTAATGTTAGTTATCGAAAAACAAGCGTTACCGAATAATTCTAATATGTTATTATGTTTAAACCCACGTCAAATATATACTTCTGAATGTAATCGGATTAATGAAGGATTGTTAACATCTAAGACATTCCAATAAGTTTCAAAACAGTATTTTATAAACACGAGGGACTGTGATCAGACTGAATCGTTCACTGTGAACCAGTGTTTTATAAACATGATGGACTGTGATCAGACTGAATCGTTCGATGTGAACCAGTGTTTTATAAACATGATGGGCTGTGATCAGACTGAATCGTTCACTGTGAACCAGTGTTTTATAAACATGATGGACTGTGATCAGACTGAATCGTTCACTGTGAACCAGTGTTTTATAAACATGATGGGCTGTGATCAGACTGAATCGTTCGATGTGAACCAGTGTTTTATAAACATGATGGACTGTGTCAGACTGAATCGTTCACTGTGAACCAGTGTTTTATAAACACGATGGACTATGGTCAGACTGAATCGTTCGATGTGAACCAGTGTTTTATAAACACGATGGACTGTGATCAGACTGAATCGTTCGATGTGAACCAGTGTTTTATAAACACGATGGACTATGGTCAGACTGAATCGTTCACTGTAAACCAGTGTTTTATAAACATGATGGGCTGTGGTCAGACTGAATCGTTCACTGTGAACCAGTGTTTTATAAACATGATGGGCTGTGATCAGACTGAATCGTTCACTGTGAACCAGTGTTTTATAAACACGGTGGGTTGTGATCAGACTGAATCGTTCACTGTAAACCTGTGTTTTATAAACACGGTGGGTTGTGATCAGACTGAATCGTTCACTGTAAACCTGTGTTTTATAAACACGATGGGCTGTGATCAGACTGAATCGTTCACTGTAAACCAGTGTTTTATAAACATGATGGGATGTGGTCAGACTGAATCGTTCACTGTGAACCAGTGTTTTATAAACATGATGGGCTGTGATCAGACTGCATCGTTCACTGTGAACCAGTGTTTTATAAACACGGTGGGTTGTGAAAATACTGTTCATTACGAACCAGTGAAGTGTCAAAATACAGCGTGCTTTACTGTGTTCGTGTAAATCGCAGGTCAAAAGTGGCGTAACGTCTAAAAACTTCGACAGTTGTGGAGTGTAGTAATAAACAGGGAGTAGTCTTTACGTACCACATCTAAATACGATATTAACACTGCCTTTATGATTCTAATTAACACTAAATATTCTCTCTTGTAGCCTAAGAACTGAATAATGTTATTCTCAAATACAAAAGGAAAGAAAACTTTCCTTTAAGCAACTTTTGGATGAGTGATCATAGGAGTTTATTTTTTCTCTTCAAAGGATCTTCTTGGATGATTAATATGGGAGAGAACGCTCTTAGGTTTGAAAGACCCCCCCCCTCTCCCGTTTTCAACTTAAACTGCATTTTGATGGTTACGGGAAATTACGTCTTGTGACGTAATCCCCTTCGTTCGCTACTGACCCACAGCTCACTTAGGCCTACTTATATCAGTGATTTCAGAAACAGCATCATGGGTAATCCCACCGCAATGTTTCATTTAAGTTTCTTTTTCTGTCACGAAATCCTCTTGCATAAGTCTACCTTATTAAGTAGTCTTGTACTGATATCAAGAGAGCTTCAAATTACCTTTTATTGTACGCATAGACAACTATATAAAAACATCGTTGAAGGGGGAATACACTCAAGGATAACAATATATCCCTGAAGGGGAATACACTCAAAGATAACTATATACATATATCCCTCAAGGGAGAATACTTAAATAAATATATCACTGGATGGAGTATACACACATAGATAACTATGCACATACACCGATGAATGGGGAATATACGCACAGATAACTATATGCATATATCACTGGATGGAGAATATACGCATAGATAAGTAAATATATATATATATACATATATCGCTGAAGGGGAATACACGCATACATAACTATATACGGATATTGTAGGGTAGGGATACACGCATAGATAACTATATACGGATATTGTAGGGTGGGAGATACACGCATAGATAACTATATACGCATATTGTAGGGTGGGGGATACACGCATACATAACTATATACGGATATTGTAGGGTGGGGATACACGCATACATAACTAAATACATATATCGCTGGATGAAGAATACACGTATAGATAAGTATATACACATACCAACGAATGGGAATATACGCATATATAACTCAATACATATATCGCTAGAGGAAAATACACGCAAAGATATCTATGTACATATATCGCTGGAGGTAATACATGCACTAAATGTATATATCGCTGGTGGGGGGAATACACGTAAGTATAAGAATATATATATATATATCACAGGGTGGGAGGTGTACGCCTAGTAAATTAAATACATATATCACAGGGTGGGAGGTGTACGCCTAGTAAATTAAATACATATATCACAGGGTGGAAGATGTTCGTCTAGTAAATTAAATACATATATCACAGGGTGGAAGGTGTACGCCTAGTAAATTAAATACATATATCACAGGGTGGAAGGTGTACGCCAAGTAAATTAAATACATATATCACAGGGTGGGAGGTGTACGCCTAGTAAATTAAATACATATATCACAGGGTGGGAGGTGTACGCCTAGTAAATTAAATACATATATCACAGGGTGGGAGATGTACGCCTAGTAAATTAAATACATATATCACAGGGTGGGAGGTGTACGCCTAGTAAATTAAATACATATATCGCGAAGTAGAAACTGTACATTTGAATTACTAATTACATATATAGCGGAGTGAGTGATCTTAGGAATTTCTACGATAGTAGTCTCATATTTCACAAGGTCCATCAGATTCTTTATTCACATATTTATTAAGGTTATTTATAACAACAGGACATGACATAACACTATGTTTTGAAGATCTTATAACGATATTTAACAAGTTATCTTCAGATAGCTGATGATATTGTAACATTCTCTTCTCTGATAGCTTTTTGTGCCTCACCATTAACCGGAATAAATATAGTGACCATGAAATATCGAGAAGCCCATGCCCCGAGGCCTAGATCAAACAGGACATCTATATCATCATTTGTCCTGTAACCCAAGAAAGTGTGCAAAGACTTTATCGGGGTTATTTTTTATAATGTCACGCTTTAGTGGCTGTTTGTTAAACATTGCGAGGACTTTCTGGCACGATGAAGAACCATTAGAAAGATAGAGGGTTCTATATCCTTGCAAGTACTTTCCTAAAAAGAGGAACCGGAGATAAAGATGTTCGATTACTTCCCCAGTGTTCTCTCGTAGAGCGGCTGTTTCTTTGCAGAGGTGTACGTTCATGAAAATTCAGTATCTTAAAGCCATCCTCAAATGATCGCGAAACAGATTTAAAAAGAAGAAAAAGAGAGACCAAATGAATGCTTAAAATCAGACACACGCGGTGAAAAGTCGAAAATCCGAACACGAATACGACTTTACAGATATCCCAACTTTACCACAAAGCACTAAACAAGGTAAATTCGTGAGAATTTCAAGGTCAATTTTAAAGATAGCCTTAAGGTACATTCATTATTGTGTTGACCCATCAGTCTCAGCGAAACAGTGGATACAAAAGTTTTATAGTAGTTAGTAAGTTTAGCAATTAAAGAATATATGTAAGTGGACATCTAAGCTTCAGATACATAGATTTGAAGAAAATCAAATATTTAGATGTACAGGTGTGTAAAACTTCCAATATGTAGATTACAGTTATGTAAAAATAAGTACCCAGAAATAGGTGTCATGGTTGAAGTATCCAGATGTATAAAGAGTCCAGACATAGGTGTACGTAGAAGCTGAAGCATCCAGACACATGTATAATGTTACATATGATATTACGTTTTTAGTTATATGTTAATCAAATATGTTAAATGCATATACAATTCTAAGCATCCAGACTTATAAATACATAGAAGTCCAAGGATTCAATTATACAAGTATTTAAAAGTTCAAATATATAAGTGTATGGGCATGAAAAAGTTGAAGTTTCCAGGTTGAACCAAGTATAGCATGACTCAGCGTGTGTATGTTCACTTTATTAAAGCATTGTTGAACGAAGTATAGCATGACCCATCGTGTGTATGTTTATTTTATTAAAACATTGTTGAACAAGGTATACCATGACTCACCGTGTGCATGTTTATTTTATTAAAACATTGTTGAACAACGTATAGCATGACTCAGCGTGTGTATGTTCACTTTATTAAAACATTGTTGAACAACGTATAGCATGACCCAGCGTGTGTAAGTTCACTTTATTAAAATATTGTTGAACCGAGTATTGCATGACCCAGCGTGTGTATGTTCACTTTATTAAAGCATTGTTGAACGAAGTATAGCATGACCCATCGAGTGTATGTTCACTTTATTAAAGCATTGTTGAACGAAGTATAGTATGACCCATCGTGTGTATGTTCACTTTATTAAAACATTGTTGAACAACGTATAGCATGACTCAGCGTGTGTGTGTTCACTTTATTAAGAAATTGTTGAACCAAGTATAGCATGACTCAGCGTGTGTGTGTTCACTTTATTAAAGCATTGTTGAACGAAGTATAGCATGGCCCATCGTGTGTATGTTTATTTTATTAAAACATTGTTGAACAAGGTATACCATGACTCACCGTGTGCATGTTTATTTTATTGAAACATTGTTGAACAACGTATAGCATGACTCAACGTGTGTGTGTGTGTTCACTTTATTAAGAAATTGTTGAACCAAGTATAGCATGACTCAGCGTGTGTATGTTCACTTTATTAAAGCATTGTTGAACGAAGTATAGCATGACCCATCGTGTGTATGTTTATTTTATTAAAACATTGTTGAACAAGGTATACCATGACTCACTGTGTGCATGTTTATTTTATTAAAACATTGTTGAGCAACGTATAGCATGACTCAGCTTGTGTGTGTTCACTTTATTAAAACATTGTTGAACAACGTATAGCATGACCCAGCGTGTGTATGTTCACTTTATTAAAATATTGTTGAACCGAGTATAGCATGACCCAGCGTGTGTATGTTCACTTTATTAAAACATTGTTGAACAACGTATAGCATGACTCAGCGTGTGTGTGTTCACTTTATTAAAACATTGTTGAACCGAGTATAGCATGACTCAGCGTGTGTATGTTCACTTTATTAAAATATTGTTGTACAACGTATAGCATGACTCAGCGTGTGTATGTTTATTTTTTAAAACATTGTTGAACCGAGTATAGCATGACTCAGCGTGTGTATGTTTATTTTATTAAAATATTGTTGAACAATGTATAGTATAGTATGTTTAATATGACATATTTATACCCTAAATTAATATTACTTATATCATTATACCTCTAGAAACACTCTAGTTTGTTTGTTTATTTCACACAAAGCTAATCGAAAGCTATCTGTGCTGGCCGGCCCAAATACTGAAGTGAAAGATTAGACGAATGGCAACTAGTCAACAGCATCCATCAAATAGTATAACACCCTCACAGGTGAAAGGGCGAGCATGTTCATTGACGACAACAACATTTTCTTGGGTTATTTGAGTTCAATCTTTTCGTTTTTTCGTCGTATGTATTTCTATAATGTGATTTTTTCTTTCACATATTCTAGTGTTTTTTTCAACCTTAAACGTTTTCCAAAATTTTCTTGTACTTTTATATTTAGAAACCTCCTTCAAAGTCACAACTTAATCTTAGCAAATGTGCTATGTCCTTTCTCTGAACAATTTTGTAGGAGTGTGCAGCTCCAAATCTTAAATATTACCAGTAACTTTGCAGGAGTCTGTGATCCTAAATATCAGATATCGCCAGTAACTTTGCAGGAGTCTGGGACCCCAAACCTTAGATGCCGCTAGTGGATTCGCATGGGTCTACGACCCTAAATAAGAGATATCGCTAGTGATTTCTAAGAAGTCTGCAGCCCCAAACTTCTGATGTAGTCTGTGACTTTGCAGGAATTTGAGACACTAAATGACAGATGTCGCCAGTGGCTTTAAATGTCTGCGATCCTAAACGACAGATGTCGCTAGTGATTACGTATAAGTCTGCAGCCTCAAACCTGAGATGTCGCTAGTGCCTTGCAATAATCACTGGTCGTTTATACTTATTGCATAACCGAGCATATATCTATACAACACATTCAATTGTGAAAAGAAAAAAACAAATTCCTGTAGAGGGCTGACGAGGTATCTCTTCATTAAGATGACGCAACACTTTAACGATTGAGCCTATGACATTACTAACTCAGTGCCTACACACAAACACGTTCTCTAGTGACACGTATTTTGTTTTATAGTTATAGTTATTCTGACTTATTTGTCTTGGAGTTTATTGTATAATGGAAAGAAACTAGAGTCTCGCGTAACAGATAAAGCCAAATCTAGTTTTATTACATTATTAGGTTTATCGAAAAGTTGTTTGACGTCCCTCGCTTCTCGTCGGATGTGCACAATTTCTTACTCAGTCGACGGAGAATAGAAGCAGTATACGGAGTTCTACAGCTTATTAAACCCCAGCCTTTTTCAATCAGGCCGTATCAAGAAGCACCTTGGCTTCTCAGTCTGCAAACTGTGGTTAACACCTAGGTAAGACCGTATATATTAAAAAATGAAAAATATGTTTACCGCAATTGTTTTGTTACCCACGTTAAAAAATCCGTATGTTATTTTCTTACTTCATCTAGACTAACATGAATAAAAAGGGAAAGAGACAAACAAAATTTTGGTTTAGACTAACAACAATTGTTCTAACGGAATTTTTTATTCTAAAAACATTTAGTTGCCTGCTTTCTGGTTTGTTTTTTTTTTTTTTTTTCACTTTTATAACGATTAATGCCGTCTTGATGGAATATTTACATTTGACGTTAGAGAACTAATCACGAGACTTACCAACAGCGCGACCGTTGAAGAAACCCAATATCAATTTTACATCTGAGTGAGTTCATTCACAGAGGTTTAAAAGTTTAGAATTTTGTTCCTCACATGAAGACCACCAAGTAGATACAGACGTGGAGTAAACCTAAAATAATATTTTTTTCAACAATGACTTCGTAAAAAAGAATGAACATAACTGTACAGCTTGAGTACTCTAGGCTTTAGGAATCAGATAATATAAACATAATTGTACAACTTGAGTACTGAAGGCTTTAGGAATCAAAGCACAAACACAACTGCACCTGTCCTTTATATCATTACTTCAGTTGGTATTAAGTACAAACATAACTGCAACTGTCCTTTATATCATTACTGCAGTTGATATCAAGTTCAAACATAACTACACCTGTCCTTTATATCATTACTTCAGTTGATATCAGGTACAAACATAACTGCACCTGTCCTTTATATCATTACTGCAGTTGATATTAAGTACAAACATAACTACAACTGTCCTTTATATCATTACTGCAGTTGATATCAAGTTCAAACATAACTACACCTATCTTTTATATCATTACTGCAGTTGATATCAAGTACAAACATAACTGCACCTGTCCTTTAGATTATTACTGCAGTTGATATTAAGTAC